GGGTTCGAAGACTCACCAAAACCAAAACATGTCTCCAGAATAAGAGTGTTTATGTGACTCACTAGCTTATTATACTTGCCCGAGCCTAGTAAAACAATACCCAGCCTTGCTCAAAAACAATTGGCCCGAAGAAATATTGGTCTTTTCAGGCACGAACACTTGTTGGGGAGGGCCAAACATCAAGCTTATATACCACCCTCTCCATTTGGCGCTGCCCAAAGAATACCTATAATTTTATTTATAAAAATACAATATGCATACGCATTATTATGCTATTATAGTCTTTTAGTTGTCTTATTTTTAATGACTTATAGATTACTTGTTTTAAGAAAAGATATTGTGTTAAGACTTTGTGTTGTGTTTTATTATGAAATTTACGTGAAAATACATTAAGTACTAGTATTTTCATATAATCATATCTAGTTTTAAAATTTACAAGTTGTGAAATTATGGTGTATATTTGATGTTTAAAATATTATTTATTAGATCTTGATTGGAGTTTTCTTTGTTGGCAAAAGAAAAAAGAATTGGAGTTTTCTTCATATATAATATTATGAGCAAGATGTCTCTATTTAAATAAGGAAGTCCATCCTACCCAGTTTGTTTTTACCCCATCTGAAATGATTCAGGCTTTTTATGAGTATGGGCGGACAGTCGGCTGCAAAATGCAACATGTTCATCCCTAAGACAAGGCATCAACAGGAGCTATGCTCTACCCATATACATCCCTTGCTTACAAATCCCATTGATATACATTTATTGCCTACCAATAAAATTCTCATGTTAGACAACTGAATTTTAATTCACAACTTTATAAATTATGCGTTAGCCTCTTGCTAATTATTGGACCAACTCTTATTTGCAATCTGTCACGTTTTTTTTGTTACAAGTCATGGTCTAATCTCCCACGCTGGTGTACGGTCTCTTCGCTCCTCAAGCTTACGTGATCGTACATTGTACGGCCACCGTAATTGACTCTGTGAATCAATAATCTGACCAATGATTCTTAAGCAAAATTTGCTTTAATACTTTAATCATTCAAATCCTAACAAATGGGGAAGTATGTAAATTAAGATAACGGATTGGTTTAACATTTGAATCTTTCCTAAACAATTAAGTCATAAGCAATTCAATAAGAATTAGCCAAAAGAGAGAAAAAAAAAAAGAGAGAATTTTTTTCATTTAGTTATATGGGAGAATGACATATAAAGAAGGTGGAATATAATATTCCAATTTGGAAAGTTAAAGATTTCCAAGGACAGAGAGGGAAGTCCTTTTTCAAATTGAAATTTTAGAATTCAGTAAAATAACAAAAATACCTTTTGTCTTTTTTAATTAATATACATACTATTTCTTGTTATGTATCAGGAAAAGACACGTTGTTAATCTCAAGTTTAGACTTGTTATTTTCCAATAAAAATGTGCTATTTTTAAATAAATTGTTGTCATTTTTAATTAATGTACACGCTATTTCTTGTTATGTATCAGGAAAAGTTTTTTTTTGTTAATATCATATTTATACTTGTTATTTCTCAATTAAGACTTATCATCCCCAGATGAATTGTTGTTGTGGGCTGGAGTCACAATAAAAGAGTCAACTTGTATTTTTGTTTACATTATAAGATTAACAAGTTTTTGATGACCCAATAGTCATCTTTTTTTTTGTTGGCCCAAATGACCAAGGGTAATAGGATCAAATCCCACCCTCACTACTTTCTTGTAATATTCTCATGTGGCCAAAAAAAACTGTAACAAAAAAAATCCACCGGCAACCATCATACTGGTGGCCAGCACAGATGCCCTACGGTAGTGGCTGGCCACCGGCGAGGGTGAGCCTTTAAAAAAAAAAAAAAGACAAAAGACATATTTGCCATTTCACTTAATTTTAAAATTCTAATTTGGGAAGGACTTCTTTCTCTGTCCCTGAAAATCCTTAACTTCTCAAATTAGAATATCATATATTCTCCCTAATTATATTTGACTTGAATATCCCCTCGGCCGGATATTACAAATTTCAAACATTTATATATTCATTTAAAAATTTTAAATTTAGAGAAAAGCATATCATCTATCGACCATCACCAACACAATTTTTGGTTGGACTTTTGTGTAATTTTCAATCTTTCTTCATACGTTTCATTGTTTCTGTATAACTTCTTTTGTTTTTTTAACGTTTTTCTCATTATTTGATCATACTCAAAAGTTAGAAAGATTCAGAAACTTTTAAGGAAAACTTACGTAGATAAAATTATTTTCTTAAATGTCATGAAATTAAATTTTGGATTAATAAAGTTACATTTACAACTACTTTTTTTCCGGGTATTCTAAATTTTAATTTAGCACTTTGAAGTATTTTTCTAATAGCATTTAATATTTTAAAGTAATTTTTGGTGTTATTGTTATCTTGGAAATATTTTTCTTAATAGCAATGAATACCATAAATTTGAGATACTAAGCGTTACTAAAAGACTACTTGAGGTGATAAATGCATCAAAAAAATTTTAGATACTGAATAATATTAAAAAATATTTTAAGAAATTAGATAAATAAAAAATTAACTTAGAATTGCTACTGGGAAAAATACTTTATGTTTCTTGACCATACATTTTTTAAATTTGACGCATAGATATTGGAGAAGGGCTTGTAAATCATCCCAAGATGAAAATATTTTATACAAGTCTCTCTAATATTTCCGAGTCAAACTGAATTACGTCTTGTGTGTTGTTATAGAAGTCAAAACAGAATAGAGAAGAAAAGTAGATAATTAGAGAAAAGAAAAGAATATTTCTTATTTCGTTTAAGGCGCCGAATACATGATATATGCTATCTATTTATAGGCACAACTTTACAACTTTAATAGAATCTACAGATTATATAATAATGTGAAATAATTATGAAATCATGAAGATAAAATAAGATATTAGAAATAATAGGAAAGATATGGATATCCACACATATATCATTATATTCATAACATGTGTTTATTTCCCACAAGTTTTTTGAAAGACTTAGTATAATAATTTAAATTTAGAGAATGTATTAATAATTATTTTATTGCACTGAAGAAATGTTTAGTTAAAAAAGAGACACGGAAATTGTTTATAAAAAGAGAGAGACGGGGAAATCAAAATTCACAATTGAATAAACCGTGCATGTTGATTTTTTTTTAAAATTTTTTTTTTTATCGTTGTGCTGAATACGCAATCAAAATTAGTTACAGGTCAACAACTAATTGGCCCAATGGCAGCACCATCTTCCTCTTCCACGCTTGGATAAAGTGCTGAGTTTAAACTTAATGTGACGTGTTTGTGTACGTTTAATTATATTATATAAAAAAATTAAATTAGTTCAAAGAATTCTGTATCTTGCTTCCAGCCTCTTTTCCTCTGTATCAGAATTAAAAACAATATTACAACATATTTATGTAATCTTTGATCTATAATGATTCATTATCTATAAATCATTCAATTTATAAAAAGGAAAAAAAAAAAGAAAAATTACTCAGAGGCTTCAGATAAGAAAATTAAATATTAACAGGTCTTGATTAATTTCATTTTTCATAAATTTAACTTGTAAATGACGTAATTTGACTTATGAATGTGAAAGTTTGACTTGTAAACATAAACGGTTAAATTTGACTTGTAAATAATGATTTGTAAATATGCCAGTTTAATTTATAAATATTGAATTTTTGTAACCTATATGTATTTAATTTTATTCCTTGGCACTCATACGTAATTTTTTTATAAAAAAAAAACTCTCTAATGTTCACACGTGCCACGTCAAATCCACTCACAATTTTCCAAATGGTTTTTGTCAAATCCATTTCTATAATCATATTTTCCAGTTGCATAAAAAAGTCTAATCTATTCTGAAACCTTCTTCAATATATTAAATGGTAATGAATAATGCCTCTAGAAGGTATACATGGGAAGGTTGTAAATTGTGATATCTTATTAAAGGGGTACATTCTCAAACATATGAGAACGAAAATTGTTCTTAAACAAATATATATACATACATATATATATATATATATATAGAGAGAGAGAGAGAGAGAGATGGATGGACGAACCAGACAACAAAAATTAATATTATCACACCACAAGGCTTGGACAATTCCCAAATTGCTTTCATAAGCTATGGGGACATTATGATACTTTTAAAGACAAATGGCACCATTTTCCCAATTTTTATACCTCTTTTGTTTGGTCAACCTTGTAAGCCTACTCTGTTTATTAGTACTATATTGTTATTAAGATATTGTTTCACCTACTTCACCATCTTCCGGCAATCTAGAAACAACTGTTAGACAATATCTTTTTGGATACTTCTAATAATCTTTATGATTGCAGCAAGTTGAATTGAAGAACCAAAAAAAAAAAAAACCAAAGAGCTAGATATATTAAAAGTTAAAATACCATATATAATTTAACATTATGGTTTTGGCAAAAAATAAAAAACTTCTACCAAAATCTAGATGGGTTTTCAAATGTTTTCTTAATAATAATAGAACATGTTCAAATCTAGAAAGAACAAGCCCCCCCAGAGGAAAATCAAATCAAAGCACAGTCCAAACCTAAAAACAAAATTGAACAATCAGCTGGAGGTGCTTAGTTTAACTAATTTTGAGTAATTTTACACGGTACAAAATGAATATGTGAGATAAACTTTGTTTTGTAAAGTGCACAGATGGCTCCTCTACTGATAATTTGGTCTCAGCCAATGAACTCAGAACCTATGCCAAATATGCCTCGCCAACCATTCAACTCAATGTTTTCACGAGTGGACTGGGCATTGAACTAGCAAACGCACAGATTTAGGTACATTGGTCGAAATTGCAGTTAAAAGAATTTTAATTAACTTAAAATAATTTTAAAATATGTATTAAAAATTAAAACATGTTCTCCATAGAATTATTTATCATCATCTAGCTCCAGCGTTCTTATCTCAGTTAAGATTGATGGATGGGGGTGCTATGACATGTTCTCTTAACATGTTCAAACAGTTAATGCAGAAACACGTTTTGAAACAGAGTTTCCTGTAAGAAACACACAACGTAAGAAATGATTTTGAGAATAAAATTAAGACACCCCTAAGTTATCTAGTACTCTTCACAAGATTCTACAGAATTCAGAATATTTCTATCAAACTTCTACTTATTTCACAAACTGTACTTTGGCTCCAATACCAGAAATAAGAAGCAAAATAAATATAAGTACACACTGTTTATTTACTTATTTTTGGAAGGAAAGAGCCAAAACTGTGGCACCATCATCATTCATCATCGCTAAGGAGAGTCCTCATCGCCTAACTTACCATTCTCATTCTTGTTCTTCCTGTCAAATGGGAATGGTCTGAATCCTTTGGTAAGCAATTCCTCGACCTCCTCGAACTGAAGACCTTTGGTTTCAGGCACTAAGATGTACATAACCACAAGTCCAACCAAGGAGAAGCCAGCAAACAAGAGGAATGTGCCTGAGGTGCCGAGAGCCTCAATCATGCTCAAGAATGATTGGCTCACTATAAGATTTGCAGCCCAGTTTGCAACTGCAGCTATGCCTCCTCCTGCTCCTCTGAATCTCAATGGATATATCTCAGAGTTCAGAACCCAAGGAACGGTTCCCATTCCGGGAGCATATGCCAGGATGTATAATCCTAGGATTAGAACGGCTAGGACACCGATTCTGCTCGGACAGCCCTCGGAAAACCATACTCGGTGCTGTCCACGACATGTTGCTCGAACAGCCTTGTCTGAAGCCAAACATGCCCCCGGCAAGAACTGCATATAGGAAGCCCAGAAAAATGTTACTTGTTGGCTAAGCAAGTGCCCTCCATTCACAAAATGAATGTAGTGAGTGCATTCAGATAGAGAAAAGTAACACAAGAAAATGCCATTGTGAAGACGAATCACGTCACATAAACAGGGGTGGGCCAACTACACTTTTTGTGAAAGGAATGGCATGAAAATACAGTCTGATTGGTTTCAGCATCACAGGAACTTCTGAAGCAATATTTATTTGTCAATTAAGCCATCTATTCTTACGACATAAATTAAGCTACCCGGTGAAATCAGGTAGCACTTATGCATTGTTAAAATATCAGCTGAATCTGGATAAATGGCAAAAGTATAACAAATGAACAATGACTCGTTTTCTTTTAATATGTTATAATGATTATACCCAATTCTTCTATCCCCAAAATTCAAAACAAGAGAAAGGAAAAAGATTTTTACGTATCTCCAACTGCAAAAAACAGATACATCACACAATGATTATGAAGAGATATGAAAGATCTCAAGGTTATTTGAATTTACTTATAATTGGCTGAGCTTCAAAAATTAGTTGTCTAATGGTAAAATTAGCTATATTTTTTTCTGACAGCACTTAGTTTTCTACATTATGAGCTTACTAAAGGGAGAACAGACCAAATACTTTAGATGGGGTAATTTAACTGTGTAATCAAATTGAGTCAAGGATTTCAAATGTACTTAGAAAAGGGTAAAACATATATCAGCAACACGTTGTGTGTGAAGAAGGAAAACAAATAAAACCGTACTTACTTCATTATCTCCATTAGCACAGTAGGCACATTGTACTTTCAAACAAGTCATGCAGTTCCATGAAGTAAAATCTGAGGCCTTTGTATATGCTGAGCATGAAGAGTTCCCTCCAAAGCTGAGGGTGTCCACGTTGCTTATACCAGGAGCATGCTTTGCAGCCTGAAAGAATGTGCCACTTAGAATCACAAGACACACGATGATCCCAATGAGGGACACGAGCATCAATTTTCGCCTCCCAAATCGATCAATCAAAAGCATGCTTATGATGGTGCCAACCACATTCAGCCCAGAAGTGATCAGGGACAGTGCAAGAGCCGTGGAGTTGGAAGCAATACCGGCAAATTGAACAATGGTCGGACTGTAATACATGACTGTGTTGATGCCTACAAACTGCTGAGTCACTTGCACTGCAATGCCAGCGTACAGACCTCTTCGAATTGCCGGGGTAGACCATGCTCTCTTAAATTTTTCTCTGAAACTATTCCCCATTGAGGCTTCCATTTCCTTCTCAGCTCTCACAGATTCTTGCATAGCACTCATCTCATCGTCAATTTCACTAGGGAGGTAAACTTTCTCAAGGATTTGCCTAGCTTCACCTTCTTTTCCCTAATTAAAATGAAAGATTCATGAGAATCTTAACTGTAAATAAAGTTGGTTGTGAATATACACAAAAACACAGTCAAAAAGCTAATTACTTCACAGGGGAGAATCAATCTGGTTAGATTACTTGTGCAGCAAGATATGTTACTCAAAACAGGATTAGACATCTCATATTACTTTGCTCTCTACAATTAACTTCCCTTAGAAAGTCAATATCTTGGCTGCTCTGCTCAACTACACTTAACTTTTTCTTTTTTTTTTTAAAGAAACAACCACAGCTACCTCAGTTGGAAAACTTACTCACTTAAGCACTTATAGAACAGTCAATGCTTCTCAACATGGAACTAGACATGTCATTCTACTTTAGTTTCACATCAATATCTACCAAGAGCTAATTAGTGAGGTTAGAAAACTAACCAAGTCAAAAACTCATGCAATAGCTCATGCTCACGTAGACCAAGCATCTTATACTACCTTAGAGCCCATTTTTTAAAAGCTTTTTCCGTGGAAAAATCACTTATTTTTTGGGCAAAAAAATCTATTTTGAGAACTATTAGCATTAGAATTTGTAAGAAAGTAAAAAGATTTCTAATTCTTTCGAGAAGTTACTTTGAGTAGCTTCTGAGAATAACCTGATGCTGTAGATGAGAGAATGCCATAAAAGTGCGGAGATGCATGGATATACCATAAAATTAAGAAATAAATAGCTTTTATTAATAGTCAATAGAGATGCACAAAGATATCATAAAATTTGAAAGTCATTAATAATAATCAATTTTTTATATTTGTAACTAGACACAAAACAAATTCTGCATTTCGTAAAATTTCTACAAAATAAATCATTTTTTATAAAATGTTTAATCTGTCCAAAAATTACTTATCTTTTAGGCAAGAACACATACAACATATACATATACGTGTGTGTGTGTTTTTTATTAGTTTCATCTATTTACATTTGATATAGTCTGCTTCAGATTTTTTCGCAGGTCGAGTAGTAAATGGAAAGAGGAGTAAGTGAGTGAAGCAAGCTTGCAGAAAAAAGATCATTAGAGAAACAGAACACAATGACCTATTTGCTAAGAATCTTCATAAGAACCAGACATGTATCAGTGTGATTCATTCTCATATTCATGTACGATATCAGAAATAATGCTCAAAAGACAAATAATTAGCAGAGCAGCTGTTAAACAGTTAGCGTTAAAACCTACAGTGAACTTAGTTTAACAGAAATACAGGAAAAATCAGTTAATCCATTACCTCTCTGTAGAGCCATCTTGGTGACTCAGGAAGGAAACACATCAAAATGAACTGAACAAAAGCTGGAACTGCAGCCACTCCAAGCATACCACGCCATGTCCAAGACGTCTGAACCAAATCAAATTGAATGTAAAAAACTTAGCCCTTTAAGCATACAAAGTAGAAATGCTACTGATGTATAATTGTAAATAAATTCAAATATTATAAAGAAGAGGCAAACAGTTGCTAGCCGTTAGTTTGTTAGATAGAGTTTTATGTTGTATCTCTGTTGAGTTTGTTAACTTTGTTAGGTAGTATTTTAGATAGGCTTATGGTGTTATAAATAGATATGACCAGGGTACCCATTGTACAGATTTGATTTCAGAATTATTCAGTGCACTATTCAGTTTCTAAACCCGCCTTCTCTCTGTCTTCCTCTCTGTTCTTTCTCAGATCATTTCTCCTTTATCTCTCGTCCTAAATTCTACCTTTCTCTTCTCTGAATCTTTCTTCTATCTCTCTTTTTGTATTTCTATTCTATCAGTGGTATCAGAGCCACCGGTTCTTGGCCACCCACTGCAATTCTGTTAATACCAAAATGGTGTTCACAATGTCCACCCAGCCCCAAGGATTGCTGCACCACCGAGAAGGTTTGGCTAGCTAGTTCACCAAGATGCACTTGCCAAGATTTTCAAGATATGAGGTGGGAGTCTTGAGGAACCGTCTCAGCCCTGTTTCTGAGACGCCTCTAGATAACTTGCTGCGTCTTCGACAACGAGAATCTTTGGCTGAATTTAATGCAGAATTTGATCTGGTCTCTAGTAAGACCAACTTGTCTGAAGCGTTTCTTGTAGAAGCATATGTCTCTGCGTTGAAAGACGATATCATTGACTCAGTTCGCATGTTTAACCCCCGTAGTATGCTTGAAGCCCGACGCTTGGCCAGGTTGCAGGAGATATCTTTGCAGAGGCGGAACAAGAAGACGCCTTTGCTAATCAAGAATGAGTCTCACATACAAGAATGCGTCACCTTTCCTCCCAAGAACTCGAATGCTGGGCAAGAATCTGCTGGTGAACAAGAGAATAGTTTTGAGCACGTTTTTAAATATGGTTCTCCGTTTGCGCCACTGTTTTCAGAGCCACTGTCGCTGTCAAAGCTGAAGGAGTGCCTATCGTCGTCATTGCCTTCTGCCCCTGTTGATGGAAGCGACGATTGTACTGTGGTTCACCACAGACTAGTCCCCCAAGATTCTTTTGCTGCCCATTTGGGTTCTATTCGCTGTCCAAGATTTGATTTTCAGTCCCAGAACAATTCGAACTGTACACTCCTGCAAGTCAAGGCTGGTAGCTGTGTTTCGAAAAAGAATACAGAAGTTGCTTATAAAGCTCGAACACTTGCAGAACCATTGGGCTGCACATGGCTGAGTAAAGTACAGTTTAAAACTTCACACTCACAGATAGCAGTAAGACGGAAAAAGAAAGGTGTAATGGGCATTGGGAAAATCTTTATCTCTCAAACAAAGAGCTCAACAGCATTGCTGCCTTGTATCCACTGGTCAATTAGTAGGACCTTAATCTGCCATCAACTTCCTACCCTGTGCGTGAATCTGACATGGTTCAAAGGGTGTCTGATTAAAATGCTTACGGGATCTAGTTTAGTACAATATATGATGTATTTGGTTCTGGTTTTGGACAATATCCAGTGGGCCATAACTTGATCTTGGGTTAGGTGGGAAGAAGTACAAGGAAGTAAAGCTACTTCACATGGTGGGACCCTCAGTACCCGTTAGCAGTGAACAGCCTTATACTCACTGGCTATTACACGGCTGCAATGGATTAAGACTATATAGGCCTCAGTCCACGAATGCCAAGGCAGTGATTCCATCAATGCCTTGAGCGAAATTTCTCCAGATTTTTCCAATGTTAGTTCATGCCTTGTTTTTTGCAGTTCCAGATCCTTGAGGGCAAGGATCTTTTTGGGAAGGGGGTATTGATGTATAATTGTAAATAAATTCAAATATTATAAAGAAGAGGCAAACAGTTGCTAGCCGTTAGTTTGTTAGATAGAGTTTTATGTTGTATCTCTGTTGAGTTTGTTAACTTTGTTAGGTAGTATTTTAGATAGGCTTATGGTGTTATAAATAGATATGACCAGGGTACCCATTGTACAGATTTGATTTCAGAATTATTCAGTGCACTATTCAGTTTCTAAACCCGCCTTCTCTTTGTCTTCCTCTCTGTTCTTTTTCAGATCATTTCTCCTCTTTCTCTCGTCCTAAATTCTACTTTTCTCTTCTCTGAATCTTTCTTCTATCTCTCTTTTTCTATTTCTATTCTATCAGCTACATATTACTCCCTCTGTTCCTTTTAAGAGACAACAAACTAAATTACGTCAACATGTTAGTTGAAATCAGTTAGAGATAATAAATATATAAAAAAAAATGTAACATTTTTGCCAAAAATACCCTCATTTATACGGAAGAGAGAGATTATGTGGTGGAGAGAGAATGTATTGGAATTAAATACAATGATATGAATAATATGAGTAATCAAATAGGAGATAAAGTGGAAAATTAACAAACAAAATTTGAGACATCTTATATGTCATACTTCACAATTTTCCCTTATGAAAAGGAACGGTGGGAGTACTATAGACTGACATCTACAAGTCATGTATTATTATATAACATCTTAAAGTATCATGTGACAATAACGTGAACCAAAGATTAGTAGTAACTTATATGTAACATTTTAGTATTTTGTGATAATGTAACAAAGTTATGTGCTACATTTTAAAGTTAGTATATTGAAGCACACCTTAGTGAAAGCCAAGTTGATGAGGTAAGAGAGGAACTGGCCCCCAGTGATGAGGAAACCATTGATGCAAACTAGAGCTCCTCTGATCTTAGCAGGAGAAGCTTCAGAGATGTACAAGGGAGCATTCATGGAAGCCATTCCGACGCCCAAACCGACAAAGATTCGGCCGAGAATGATGACCCATGGAGCTGGAGCAACTGCCATGACAACAGCTCCCACAATGAACAAAACATCAGCAATCAAAATTGATTTCTTTCTCCCCAACTTGTCTGTCATCCATCCTCCTAGTGCAGCACCAATTATAGCTGCTGCTACAGCCATACTCACAATGTTTTCCTGCATTTCAGTATATGACTATCATCAGTATGGATAAAGAAGGGCAAAATCTTTAAAGAAGTTTGTATGGACTTTTGATTCAAATATTGAAATAACAGTACTAAGGAATTTTGATTTTATAAAATATATTGATTGATGATTAGGTCCTTGAAAGATACATCTTATTGCAAACTGAATTTTCAACATATTCTTATTCACGAGTGAGTGAGTTGTTTAAACCCTGTAACTGGCAATCTGTTAGTCTTGTTAGCATCAAATTATTCAATTTCTTTTTGTTTGTAGAAGAGACTTCTGTGAGTTATAAAAAGAAAGAAACATAATTCTAATGATTTGAAAAGAAATATGTACAATTTACTCCTTTGTTGAAAAAACAAAAGGGGGTTTAATCCCAGAAGTGAAGCATAAGAAAGAATGTTTTATGTGCATAAAAAGAAGTACTCTGTGTTTCATAAAACAATACGAACAAGCTTGGCCATGTGCTATATTGACAATGAAACTTTTGTAGCATAACAATCCGTGCAAAAATCGTAAATAATTAAATTTCTATAATAAATTCATTAATAACTAATAATTTCAGTTTTTTTAGATAAATAAGAGCTTGGGTAAGTTGGGTGCCAAGATTCATTAGGCTAAGGCTTGTCTTTAAGCACAAAGAGAACTTACAGAGATATTAACAAATTGCCAGAATCTTTACATTGACAATAGGTTTTAGTCAAGTAAGGAATTTAAACTCCAAATTTTATGAGTTATGAGCTAAATCTTTATCAACTAGACTCTAGATTTTCAATTATTATTTCTAAGAATTTAAACTCAATAAAAGGTATATTTCTTCTTCAATGGACAAAATCGTGTTCAAGAATATTTGAAATTGTAACAGTTATTACCACGTTTTAGAAACTTATTATAAAAATTGAAGAAGAAACCATAAATATTAAATGAAATTATAATTTGAAAATATGTCTATTATTTTTTAATTTCTGAAAATTTTGAAGTAAATTTTTAAAACTCAAAATTTTCTTTACTCTTGAAAATTAATAATTCTAATTTTTAAAATATTTTTAAAAAATTTTTTTATCATATATATACCAATATCTTAATATAATTTATTTGGTAAATATAGATGATTCTTAACACACAAGAAGAGCAATGAAATATGTATAATTTGTAGCAAATTAGATCTCAGACCTATTGTGGATGGATTCTAAGCTACTTTTATGGTCTCATTTATAAGGTAGAGAAAAAAAAAACTTTTTTGTCCTATTTATAAAGCACTAAGAGAAATTTTTGACATATATTGTGTTGGTTTTGTTTACATGAGAAATAATATATATATTAAATATAAATAAAGTTAAAAAATTGTTAAATTTTAAATAAAAATTAATAAAATTTAAAATTTGACTTAATGTGTGTGAAACCCGTTAAAAATGACTTATAAAAAAAAAACAAGAAGCTGGTCTGTGAATATCCATATTATTAATGATCAGTGATCCATATTGATTTATATATTTTATAATTATTTAAGAGCAGCTTTGTCCATCAGCATACCTGCTCCCCTGCTGGGGACCGCAGTTAACCGAAAAAACCAAAGGGAAAAGAAAACGCTGAGATGCTTCGAAAGTAACCTTACAATCAACAATCACCTGAAAGTACATGAAATCACACTTGTTTTCTTCTCCCCGTGAAATTTCAATTTTTCATATTTTTGTCTCTTTCTTTCAAAGTTTTAATAATAATAATAATAAGAACAACAACAACAACAACAATAATTTTTTTTAAAAAACTCTGAATTGGGATTCCAATATTTAGAAGGTGGAAAGGAGAAGAAGGAGGAGTAGCGACCTGAAGCCATGTTTTCTTGTCAACTTCCTGGAAGTCCTCACGAATGTAGAGCAAAGCTCCAGAAATCACACCTACATTTTGCAGAAACCAGAATCACAAACAAAGAATTAATAAATAAGGCATAAAACAATTCGATTCATGCGTTCATGCAAGTGAAAACTCTGCACAATTGAAGCAATGGGCATTAAAAAGAGCTAGGTTTCCCCTTTAAGCATCATGCCTCAGTTCCAGTTTAGAAGAGAGTTCAATGTGACTTGAGAAAGCCATAAAGAAACCGAACTTTGTTCGAAACAGTCGGAATTATTAAATTTTGAATCTGGAGAACATTCGGTTTGCCTCAGAGAGAGAAAAGGAGAGAAGGAGAGGGGAATTGAAGTACGCATACCTGTGTCGTAGCCGAAGAGAAGGCCTCCGATTCCGGCGGAAAGGGCGAGGCGCATGATGAACGGGGAAGCAATGGATCGCCGGAAGCATTCGGTGAACGCCGTCTTGTCGGCACCGCCGTGACCTCCTTCCATTTTCTTCTTCTTCCTCTTCCGATCGATTCCCTCTCACTCACTGTGTTGTGTTTTCAGTTTTCAGTATTCAGGAACCTAGAGATTTGAATTTCACTACTCTTTTTCTATTCTCTCCCTCTGCGCTCTCGAATCCCGACATGAAACGCCTTTTGTTCTTTTGCTCCAATTTTTACCGCTTCTTTTTCAACCAGATATTCGCAAAATATGGAGAAGCTCGTCAACTAAACGACCTTTTTTTCTGCCCTATCTCAATTTTTTAATTATATTAAATATTAATTATGTTATTAATTTGACCCTTTGAAATTAGGCTTACCATAATACCATCTATCACGATGCTTTAACTCATTCAAAAGCCGTTTGAATCAAATTTTGAGGGTAGGCATCACTATTGCTCATTTATTGTACTATCTATTATTTTTAATATAAAATTTACTTAACTAATTTAAATTGATTAAAAAAATAAAATAACCTAGTTAACTTAACATATATAATATTAAGCCATATATCAATATAAATTTATGTAAATTAATTTGTGAAAAAAGATAAATATAGTTAGGAACCAAAAAGGATTGAGATCATGACCAAATCTATCTTCACAACTAGCTTTTAATTATACTAAGGATAAGAGAGAATATTATTTTAAGTGTTTAATTTCAATTGATTATAAATTTTTATTATAATATAATATACAGAATAGTTAAGTTAAATTTCTTATATCCCTCATCTCATGTTTTTCAATCAACTGTGATCATGTGTCCTATTTTTATGTGATTAAAGAACTTAAGTATAACTTGATATATAAGTATTGTCATATAATATATTAATGATATTTTTCTTGCTGTTATTCCAATTTTTTATTTAATTTCAATAGTATTAATAAATATTTATATATGGTTGCCAAGTAAGAAAGTACTTGGTGTTATGTAAAGTTGTGTTATTTATTATAAATTGTATATTTTATAATTCATTTTTTAGTATATTTTTTAATAAGCGCAACTATTCTTCTATTAAAATTTGAAGGCAAAATTATCAACTGGACTTGTTGAATGTAAAAGACTTGACGTAGTGAGGATGAGTGAGAAAGCTAGTGAGAGAAAGGGTGAGCCGGGAATTCGATCGTTCGGAACTGGGAACTCTCCTAATGTGGGGGAGGACTCATCACAGGAAGAGGATGAACTATTCAGAAGAAATATTAAGAGGATGGATGGTGATATAGCTATGTCGGATTGTGAAGGATTACCAAACGATGGTAGACAAAGGACTGGGGGAGACAATGGAATGGAGAACCCTGTAAGTCAGAATGAGAGCATCAAAAATGCAGAGGAAATGCCTGCTAGGATACAAACGACTCGAAGCCAAATCTCCTATAAAACCAAGCTTACTGGTCAGGAAGAGAAGGCCTTTGAGCAGGATTTTGAGGAGCAAATGAGAGAATGGCTCAAGGAGGAAGAGGAGTGTGCCCCGGAGCTAACTGCAGAACAGAGGATACTGTTCGAACAGCTCCCTAAGCTAAATATGCCAAATGACCGGCTTAAGGAGCTCTGCCTGCCTTGGAAGGACGCATTGATAATCACCCTGCTTGGCAGGAGGACAAATCTAAATATGATGAAGGATCGAATCGGGTGGCTGCTCAAGAGTGGGAATTTTGAAATCATTGATTTGCCAAACAACTATTATGTTTTCAAATCACAGGATAAAGCTTTATGCAAGAAGCTGTTATTCGACGAACCATGGATAATCCAAGGACACTACCTGGCGATACAGAGGTGGAGCCCAAATTTCAATCCGTATTGCAACAGAGTGAAAAAACTAGCAGTATGGATAAGAGTGCCCACTCTCCCAATGCATTGCTATTCAGAGGAATGCATGTTAGAACTGGGAAACTTAATTGGAAGAGCTCTCAAAGTGGATCTTAATACGCTAGCTCACTGTAGCAACAGAACCACAGCCGTCGAGAGGGGGAAGTTTGCTCGTGTAAGTGTAGAGATTGACCTCAACAAAAAACTTCAATCAAAGTTCGTGCTCCGGAAAACGATCTATACAGTTGAGTACGAAGGCCTGGAAGTCATTTGTTTCAAGTGCGGAACCTATGGCCATAATCAAGACTTATGTCCGTTCAACCCCAGTAACTTGCATACCTCGCCGGAAACGCCCAGTCCGGCGGTGCCCTGTTCTGGTCAGACAGACACTAGGGAAGGGAAGAGGACACCTGTCAGCGTCCCAGGCGTCTCGGTTGAAGAGTTGTACGGTTCCTGGATGCAAGCAAAAAAGACGTTCAGGCAAAGACCAAAAGGGGATATGGGGAAGAAGCAAATGCCGATGCACAATGTAGGGAATAGACCCATAGGCAAAGAAAAAATAGTAGGCCATGGCACCAGATTTGATGTTTTGCAGGATATGGAAACCCCTGCTCCTGCTGGGGGGAGAAAAGAGGCTAGCATGAAACGGGCACCTGCCACCGAATGGAGGAAAAAAGCAGAGCAGAATCAACATGCCCCTGAGAAGTCCAAATCTGGAGGCAGCGGTCAAAAGGAAGGGGAAGGCCAGGAGGAGAGTAGCAAACGAAGGGGCAAACAAAGAGCAGACAATGACGGCGCCTCTGAAAAGAGATGTGACGTAGAAGACAATGGGGATGGCACTATAAGAATGGACCTGGAAGACACTAGGGGAAGTACTTTTGGGCTAGGGCCGAAAGTTAGCCACAAGCTCAATGAAAAAAGGAAGGTGGGAGGCCTTAAAAGGAGTATCACCACTAGGCCCAAAGTTACATCCCCAATAATGAAAAAGAAGCAGGCTGGTAGAGATCTTCAAGTGATTATTGGATCCATCTTAAATAAAGGGGCCCTGGACTTTGGATCAGATAAATCAAACGAACAACAGGTCACTGGACATAAAGGGCAATCTGAGCCTAGTACTGGGGGAGTCTCACTGGGGGGAAGCGCGCATACAATTAATACGGAACAGCTAGGAATTAATCTATGGAACCCACCCGATCACTCTAAGCACAGCGAGGAAGGTGCGTGTGAGCGGGAAACCCAGGAGTTAAATGATCAGTGGTTTGAAACCAACGATGAGGTGCGGGAAGAAGCCTTAGGAGAAGATGTAGCTGTAGTACCAGTGGACATGAACACCCACTGCTGATCGGTGATCCTTTGTTCTCTCCCTCTTTGTGTTTTATCATGTATTTAATTTCATGGAATTGCAGAGGCGCAGCCTCAAAACTCTTTCCTCGTAGACTTAGAGATCTCCTTAAAGGGAGAAAGGTTGATATTTTAATTTTGCTCGAAACGAGAGTCAGTGGTACGAAAGCTGATCGCATTATGAGGACTCTGGGTTTCAGTAATTGGATTCGAGTGGAAGCGACAGGATATGCTGGGGGGATTTGGCTTCTTTGGAACGACTCTGAAATCTCTATTCACCACGAGCTTGCAACCACTCAATTGCTTCATGTCCAGGTCTCTCTCCAGAATTCAGATTTCTCATTCTGGTTGTCCTGTGTGTATGCTGAACCTTCATGTCTATTGAGAACACAATTGTGGAATGATCTGGGCCAAATTGGGAACTCCATGTCTGAACCTTGGCTTGTTATTGGTGATTTCAATGCCTATCTTTCGTGTAATGATAAACGTGGTAGTAGATGTCTCAATACGCAGTCCATGAGAAGTTTTAGCTCTTGTATCGAACAGTCACACCTGATTGAAGTTGATTGTGTGGGTGATCGTTTCACTTGGGAAAGGAATACTCTGAAAGAAAGAATTGACTGGGCTTTCACTAATGACTTGTGGTTTCAAAAATACCCCCTTACCAAAGTGCATCATCTGAATAAGTTTGGATCGGATCATAGACCGCTGTATGTTAATACTAGTCAGGGGCGACAGATCAGACAGAAACCCCCTTTGTTCAGGTGTCAGGCGGCTTGGTTCCTAGAGGAAGAATTTATTGATATTGTCAGTCGGAATTGGCAGGAAGGTAGTTGGGAAGATAAAATCAAGGCCTTTACTCATGATGCTGCGGTTTGGAATAAGGAGAGAGTGGGCAATATTCTATCTCGAAAGCAAAAACTACTGAGGAGGATCGATGGAATAGAGAAAGCTAGGAGTAGACGAGACAACCAATACCTTGTTCAAGCAGAGAAAGAGATTTGGAAGGAGTATAACAAAGTTCTAGCACAAGAGGAGCTCCTCTGGTTTCAAAAATCAAGATGTAGCTGGCTGAAGTGGGGAGACAGAAACAGCAATTATTTTCATGCATCTGCTTTAGTACGTAGAAGACGCAATCGAGTAGAAGGTCTTAAAAACAACAGTGGGGAGTGGATTTTTGACCAAAAGGAGCTGAAACGGATGACACAAGCCTATTATGAGGATTTGTTTCAAAGTAATGGAAGTAATCCTACCCCTCTTCGAACTAGACATGGCTTCCCTGGCCTTTCTGAGGGAGATAAATTTCTTCTGTCCTCACGAGTTAGCAATGAAGAAATTAAAGCAGCAGCACTGTCTTTAGGAGCTTTCAAGGCCCCTGGACCAGATGGTATTCAGGCTATTTTTTACCATGAGTATTGGCATATTATTGGTGATTCAGTGTGTGAGTGTGTGAGATGGTGAAAGAAATTTTTGAAGATCCGTCCAAGGTCAGGGGGCTCAACAGCACAAACTTGGTACTCATTCCCAAAGTCGACCACCCGGAGGAACTTAGGGATTTTCGTCCAATATCTCTTTGCAACGTTAGTTATAAGATTATCTCAAAGATCATCAGTACTAGATTGAAGGCAATCATGAGCAAAGCTGTGGGGCAACACCAATGTAGCTTTATAGCGGGTAGACAGAGCAGCGATAACATTATAATTGCCCAAGAGATTGTTCATTCGATGAGGGTGAAGAAAGGACGCAAAGGTTGGGTAGCTATTCAGGTTGATCTTGAGAAAGCTTATGATCGGCTGGAATGGTCTTTCATTAAGGATACCCTAAATGCTGTAGGAATCTGTGGGAAGATCTGTGACACCAT